AATAAATAAATAAATAAATAAATAACTAAATAAATAAATAAATAAATAAATAAATAAATAAATAAATTTTGCACAAGATCTCCTTATTTATCCCACCAAGTGGACCATTCTGATTCAGTGGGTTCTAATGTTTTGCCAGGATCGCCTGGACTCTATGCGGCAAACCTTGTCAGATAGCAAGAGGCAGAACCATAACTTAACTGACACAGTCCATTTGTTGCAAGATCAACTGGGTGAGATGGAGCTGAGATGTAGAAACCTGGAAGAGCAGATAGAACATCTCCGAGATGTGAGTAACAATGGGAGAGGAGTTTCTGTTGGGAAGACTCAAAACCCCTTTCTCTGACCCCATGCAATTATTTAACATTCTCTCTCTTGCTCTCTCTCTCTCTCTCCATGTGTGAAAAACTAAGTACGCCTTATGACTCAATAGCTTGTAGAACCACCTTTAGAACCAATAACTTGAAGTAATTGTTTCCTATATGACTTTATCGGTCTCTCACATTGTTGTGGAGGAATTCTGGCCCATTCTTCTTTACAACGTTACTTCAGTTCATTGAAGTTTTTGCACAGCTCTCTGAAGGTCCTGCCACAGTATTTCAATCAGGTTGAGGTCTCGACTTTGACTGGGACAGTGCAACACACTGATTCTTTTCTAGTGTGCTTGGGATCATTGTCCTGTCACATAACCCAATTTCAGCCAAACTGTAGCTGGCAGACAGATGGCCTAACATTTGGCTCTACAATACTTTGGTATACAGGGGAGTTCATGGTTGACTCAATGACTACAAGGTGTCCACGTCCTGTGGCTGCAAAAGAAGGCCAACACTGGCCTCCAACACTGTGCTTGACAGTTGATGTGAGGTATTTGTGCTGATATGCTGTGTTTGGGTTTTGACAAACATGGTGCTGCCATAATTCAACTCAAAACACTTCTCTTTGCATTGGACCACATATACTATATTGCTCCTGTTGTGTTTTGGTGTTGTCTTTTGGGTGGATGAGTGTCTGCCTCAGTGTGTTTGTGAGATGCCATGGTTTCATCAGTATTTAGCTTCAGTTCCCTGACTTGGACGCAAACTCCTCTGAGTTGTGAATGTGGTGGTCTGAGTGTCCAACTAATGGTGCTAAGATGGTGGTCAGGTATTTAGCAATGTTAGCAAAAGACCGGAAACCAAAACACAAGAGGAGCAATGTAGTATCTGTGGTCCAATGCAAAGTGGAATTTTCGGAGCTTTATGTTGGAGAAACCAAACAGCCACTAAACAGGAGAATGGCCCAGCACGGGGGTGGGAGGCAGCTCAGGACCACAATCAGCAGTGTTCCTTCATTTGAAGGACAGAGGACACTCATTTTGATGACCAAGATGTAAATTAATTTTGGACTGAGAAGATAGGTGGTTTGAGAGAGGGATCGGGGAGGCCATACATGTGCATATAGAAAATCCCTCATTCAGCACGGGTGGAGGCCTTAGATATAATCTGTCTCCTATTTATCATGCTGCCATTTCAGCCATCCCCAGGAAGACCAGGACCACACTCACCAGAAAGACCACTGTTAATGGTCTGTCTGTAATTTTTACAACACATCTTACAAATAACATAAAATACATTATTAAAGCATAGTAATAAATATAATATTCCAGGGGTAGCTGGGAGAAAAGAGGTTCTGTTAACTGTGAACCTGGAAATTTGGGATCCCCTCAAAACCTAAGCCCAAGTTTTGTAAACATTTGTTAGTATTTTGTAATACAAATTCCATGTTTTGTAGCAGACCTAAAAACAGTATAACTTACAGATCAAATATGAGTTCCTACTTAACACTCCAAACCCCTGCATTGTCCTCTTTGTTCCAAACCTGTGCCTAGGTTTTGCAGTGTTTTCTAATACAGTGTTTTGCAACACAAAAGCTGTGTTTTGCCAAACCCCTGCCCCCCCCCAAAAATTGATGCTGGCATTCCCAGTGGAGGGATTCCTGAGTGCCTCAAAGCCTTTGAAAAATGCTGCAAAACAATGCCAAAACTTGGGCATAATTGTTGAAGGGATCCCAGATTTGGGTTTTTATAGTTAAGAGAGCCAAAGAAGGACAATCTAACTAGAGCAAGACCTGGGGCAGTATTTGCCTGTCTTCTCCTTCTCCTTCCTTTGGTCTGCTGTCCTGCTCACAGATTGGGGGTAAAAGGCCAGAGACCGGAAGGGGAATCTGAAATGGCAGCTCACGCAGGCAGTGATAACAATTGGCAGAGCTCTTCACATCCCACCTCTGCCTGCTCTTCTCAGTCTGAGCTGAGAGTTTCTTCCCTTTTTCTTATGGTAGCTTGATCTTTTTTCTTTAGTTACAAAGCAAAAAAGGCATTCTGTGTTGTTATATGCTATCAAATTGCTTCTGACATAGTGGTGACCCTATGAATTAATGACCTCCAAAAGTTTGTGTCATTAATGGCCCCATCAGGTCTTGCACAATCAAGGCTGTCTTTATAGAGTCAGTTCATCTCATGTCCAGTTTTCCTCTTTTCCTGCTTGTCTCCAGCTGTTCTACAGGAGGGTTTATGTAACATACTCTTGATCTTGCTGGATTTTTTTTAAAGTTACTGATAATTATTTTTACAGAGTTAAATGGGTGAAGCTTTGATACTCTTTCAAATAAAATTCACAGTGTTGCCCTTAAATAGGATGTGCCTATAATTTCTCCTGCCATTATACTCTAATGCACACTATAAGATACAATGTTATATCTACTTTTCTCAAGTTTTTCTTTTCATTTTTACTCTACTTTACTCCTTCTTTCATTTTTACCCTTAATACAAGATAAGAATGAGGCTATGCAAGCAGTAAAAAATATCATATGGCATGTTCTTGTATGCTCATATAAACAAGGGGACTGTGCAACTCTACATGCATAAGTGCATGTGATATGATTAATATTTGGTGGTATACATATAATGTATGGATTTTTCATATTACTATTGGTGGTAAGTAATTTCATGAAAAACAGAGAGATGGAAAAAGAACCTTACTCAGTGCCTATTGGTCCTTTTAGACTCATGAAACGTCTGCAAAAGGAATGAGTATACGTTTTACTGTAACTTTTTCTTTGTGGCTTATATCCAGTGACTTCCCAATACACACAATTACTGCTCTCAAATTTTTTGAATACAGTCCAAACAATGCATTCAGAACTTTGCATTTAAAAAGAGTATCAGGTTTCACATACATATACACAGAGGTTCTTTAGCATATACTTCCCTGGGCTACCTCCTATCCTTTCCTATTCAGAGAAGCAAGTACAGTAACGTGCAGCCAAAAGGAGCACAAACATTCCAAAAAGCTGTATAGCTCAGTGGGTTGGAGAATCTGGCTATGGAGCCAAGGATCAGGAGTTCAATTCCCTCATTGTCCTTTTTGGGAGAAGAGCCCACCTCCGTGGTCTTGAATGAGGTGCACACTCCCATGATGCTCCCAGAAGAAGAGAGTACAGTACTTAGAATGATAAACCAATTCTAAGTACTCTATACTGAGAAAATCCTGGAAAGACTTGCCATAAGTCGGAATCAACTCAACAGCACATTATTATTATTAAAAGTTTCCCTGTTATATGTTAGCATATGTCTCTTTCTTCTACTCTGGTGCCATAAACATGATCTATCTGCAGCATTTCTGGTTTATGGAGGTGTTGCCTCAACTTCTAATCAGTTCAGCACAGTTGGAATTTATAGACAGGTGCCACCAGAAGTATTTCCAAGGGGAGCAGTAAGAATTAGGAGCAATGAAGAATCTTGCGACACCTTGTAGGATGGAAATTTTTCTTTGGCATATGCTTTGCTGCAGTGAATTAGGAATTCTTGTAGGACCTGGTTATTAAAAGGTAAAAGAATGTATGTCACTCAGAGAACATTTGTTCTCTGAAATGTATTGAATTGGTCAGTGAAGTTATCGGTTTTCTTCCCGCCATCCACACAGCACAAGTTTTGTATTAGTCAATACCATGGTGAAATTCTGGCACCTCCTGAAAGGTATGGGGGGGTATTTCATTTTGCTCCAGGTGCACCGTTTAATGCTGTGATGCTTCCCATGAAGGTATGTCCATGATCAGAGCTTCTGGGTTGGAAGCTTTCGATTTTTGGTCAGTTAATTTTTAAAAAACGATCCAAAAAAGAAATTTCAGCACAGAAATGCATTCCTACATATTGATCAAATAATTTTGAAGGTTTTCCTGCAAAAAAAGTGGTTTTCTCTAAGTGGCTTATATTGGTGAAGTCCTACACTTCTTCGAGATGACCAGGAATGAGCCAGGAGAAAGGCATATACAACAGAACACTCCATCCTACCCAGATATGGAAGAGCACCAACACACCTAACCCTCAGCCATTTCTAAGAAATCAGGGACTTCTGAGCATTTGTAATCTATAAACTCAGAACTGCAGAGCTGGAAGGGACCCTATGGATCATTGAATCCAGCCCCTGTCAAGGAGGCACAGTGGGGAATCAAACTCTCAACCTCTGATTCTGCATCCAGATACCCACACCACTGAGCTATCCAGCTACTCATGTTAAAACTCCACTGACTCCTGGGAAAGTTAAAAGCCAGACTTTGACTTTATGAACATCCTATGGATCTAATCCCAATGAACTGAACTAAGCTTACTTCTGATTAGACATCTTTTAGATTCCACTATACAGTATATCATTAAATCTATACTGAGGGCTAGAGTGACATACATTCTTTTACCTTTTAATAACCAGGTCCTACAAGTTGATACTATCGTTTTGTTTTTGTCCATGTTCTGTGTTTGAAAGACAGGTGAAAATGCTATACCATAGCTTTGCCAGCATCCAAAACAGGAATTGTGGTAATTGGACCCAACACATTCCTTCCACTTGTCCAAATATGCAGTTAGCCTTCAAACCTTGCTGTGGTGCTGAAATCTTGTTTTTTAATGAGTCTCTGATTGGCAACTCAGTTTGGGCTCGGCAGAAAAGACAGTTACACTTCCTATCACTTCTTTAAAAAATCTTTGACTTCCAAGAGTGATGCTGTCAGGAAATGATGGAAGTGGCTACCCAGCACAGTAGATCGTTCAGTTTGGATCCTGCAGACATGGATTTAGATTATTTCCCTCTCAGTATTATGCTGTGTGATTTGGCCAAATGTTTCAGAGGCAGTTGTTTCCCATCAGTGTAACATAGTGTTCTGTCTCTGAAACTGTACCTACTTATTTGCCCACTTTTTCCTCAAGAATTGCTTTCCTCTCTGAGATGGAAGAGATCATTGGATGGAAGAGAGTGAAAATAACGGGTTATGGCTTGCAAGCTGACTTTTAAAGAGAAAAAAAGGTCACCCATTGTTCTGTTGTTGTTTAGTCATTAAGCTGTGTCCCACTCTTTGTGACCCCATGGACCAGAGCACACCAGGCCCTCCTGTCTTCCACTGCCTCCCAGAGTTGGGTCAAATTCATGTTGGTAGCTTGAATGACACTGTCCAAACATCTCGTCCTCTGTCGTCCCCTTCTCCTCTTTCCTTCACATTTTCCCAACATCAGGGTCTTTTCCAGGGAGTCTTCTCTTCTCATGAGATGGCCAAAGTATTGGAGCCTCAGCTCCAGGATCTGTCCTTCCAATAGTCTCACAATAAAACACAACCAGGCTCCCTTGTTGTTATTTTTTGCCATGGGATACAAAGAAAAAAAATAGACCAAATGAAGTTCTCTTCTGTCACACACTGCATTTCCAAAGCATTCCTAATTTTAATTTAATTTGTTTCCATTTAGGTTTTGATCCAGCAGCTCAGAGGGAATGTACCCCTCTGCTGATCCTTGGAAATATATAAATTTTCCTTCCTGGAAATGCTCTGTGTGTAAAAAATCTATGTAAGAATTGTATTTTAGTGTCTCAGCTGATGGGGACATGCCATCCCTAGCAGATGTGAGCCTCCCTGAGGAAGCAGGTTTAAGAAATGTTCATGCCGGACTGCTCCAAAAGTTGTAAGAATGGTCAGGCTTGGCTATTTTTAGAAATGTATTTATTGTTTTCATTTTAATGGGTTTTTCTAACTGGGAAAATGAAAAGGGTGATGAATGGGATATTTTCCTGTTATGGCAAAACAGTATTGCAAATATTTATCTCTGTAAGCATAAAACAGCCTTGTGTATGTGCCCCTGAATTCCCTCATGCACAACCCCTTTCTCTGGGCTTGAGGAAAGAGAGAAGCTAGCTAATGAGTTCCAGAAGATCAGCTGTAAATGGCCAGGGAGGGTAATTCATATCAAGCTCATAAAACCCTTTATTGATGTCTCCAGAGGGGAAATCCGGATGTGGCCGATTATTTATTCTGGATTTTGCCTCTCCCCAGCTCCATTTAACATTCTCTTTTAGTAAGTTTGCATGCCATATTAAAAGGACAGAATATCCCATCCCACCACAGCTATTATGTGGAAGCCTTTTCACATAGAACAGTCCTCTTCACTGAGCAAAATACTGGACAGCTCTTCTCCCCCAACTCGGTTCAGTCCTCCCCCCACTCCCCCTGCATTGGATTCTTGTCTCTTCCAGCATCATAGTTTGGTCTCTCTGGATATGCAGCTCAAGTCTGTCCTAGAGAACTTGGCAGATGAGGAAATACAGTGGAGTGGGGCAATATGCAAGCTAGATTTCCCATGATTTGTTATGAGTAACTATGTTTTAAAACAAAGGGATCCTCATTTGGACTGGACTGAGAAGAGAATTGGGAGGGCTTTTTCTTGAGGGGAAAATAGAAAAAGGTTGTTTCATTCCTCACCACCATTACTTCTCTAGTTAGATCTAGTAGTGATAAACATGCAGTAGAGCCAATATATATGCTATATAGATAAACAGAAAAGTGGTTTTTCAAAGAATTAGCCAGTGTGTTAGTCTGTTTGTTGTGCAACAACAAAAGAAGTCTTGAGGTGCCTTTAGGATTAGCTGATTAATTTCAGTGTGAGCTTTTGTGGATTACACTCTGTCTTTCAAACACAGGAGGTACAACATTTAGATGGATGGGGAGGGATTCAAGTGGGTTGTAGAAGATACTAGTAGCATTATTAACATATGTAATAAACTTTCAGAGTGGTCATTACATAAACATCCTGACAGTAGGTTAGGTAGCAGATGCAAAGTATCTGTTGGCTGAGACATTCTTCTGTGAAATGCTGAAGCACTTAGTTTTGTTCTCAGAGTTGCGTGGAGATATCAGCCTTCATGATGCTTCTTTCCTCATACTTGGTAAAGTAGAAAACTTAAGTTTGGTGTACTGCCCATAGTAAAATCTTATAAGCTTCACAATCTTTTAACAATGTCTTCACAGTCTTTAACTATGTCAGTGGCTCAGGGTGTATCTGCTTCTGTGATCTATTTTACTGTTTTTTTACAAGAATCTTAAAATCTGTCTAGAAACAGGGCAAAAGACAATATCCCTGTTCATGGATTGATGATGATGATTATAGTGTGCTGTCAAGTCAGTTCTGACTTATGGAGACCCTTTTCAGGGTTTCTTGAGTAGAAAGTTGTTCAGAAGTGGTTTACCCTTCCCTTCTACTGAGGGCATCCTGGGACTGTACAGCTTGCTGAAGGCCACACGGGGTGACTCTCCTCACAAGAGGCACAGTGGGGAATCGAACTCCCAACCTCTGGTTCTACACCCAGATGCCTAACACACTAAGTAGCAGGGGGTGTAACCATGACAGAATAAGCACACACATGTAGGTTCTGCTCCCAATATCCACTTCCAGATGTCAGATACTGTACTTGATTGAACTTGCTTACAGCACTTCTGTGACTAGGAGTCCTGTGTCATCTGTGCCCCAGGCAAGTTCATCTAATATACCTACAACCATATTTTTAGACGTTGGTGCTGAATTTATGAAAGTATGATTTACTCCTGGGTAGGGAAGATGTTGAGAGTAGGACTTCCCAGGCCTCTACCATATTTCAGCATGGTTTCTTGGAGCGATTTCTTGAGGATCACATTTTATATTCATTTAGTTGCTGCTCGTCCTCATTCTTTCTCATTTCTGGCTGTTTCTCAGCATAATCCTGGGAATCCATTCTTTCTTGGCCATAATTTGCTTTATTTGAGTGAAGGTGCTTCCCAGTGCTCTCCACATTAACACCAAATTTTCAGCAAGGTATTAAATAACAAAGTAATTGGAAGGGAGCAAGTTCATGTGCTAGAGACAATTTTTTTTAATTATTTTTAAAAGAAAACAAAGAAAAAGTGACTGTGCATTTGTGCCTTGCAGCTAAGAGAGCTGTATTTGTTGCTGGAGAGCTAAGACTTCCACTGATCATAAATACTGAAAATTGTAATAACACTTTGCTAAAGCCATCCCAAATTCTTCAAGGAACTTAAACCTGTTCTGCCCTCTTTCATGGAGCTTGCAAAATCCCTTCCACCTTTCACAAAGCTTTAAATTTATTAAAACTTGAAGAGTCATCAGAATTCTTGACAGATGTCAGAAATGCAGCATGCAAGACCAGCTTCAGATATTGTATAAAAGCACTCTGGTATCTTCTCCTCAGGAAAAGCAAGAGAAATTCAGGAAGGAAAGTGACACCTTCAGGCTGAGTCAGAGGAGAGAGCAACTGGACCAGTCTCTGAGCAGTTTGCAGCAAGAACTGGAAGACACTCTGAGGCAAAATGAACATCTGAAGGTCAGGTGGACTCACTGAATCCATGTGGGAGCATGATAAGGAGTTAATGACTATCCTGTTTAATGTTGTCCAAGGTGATTTTGTCCCACAGGGCACTGTGGATAAAACCTCTGCTTCCAGACAGAGGGCTTCTACTACTTGAAGTTAGCAGGTACTGAACAGCTATTCTGTCCTCTTTTTTTCATGTAACAGGTATCCTCTGGTGAGAATAAAATGAAAGCAACAAAGGAAACAATCACAAGTGGCTTACAGACTGAAAATGTATTTTTCCCTTCACAGAATAATGTTATTATTGTATAATAAAAGCCTTGTCTGGAAGCAGCCTTAGGAGGGTTAAAGTAGACAATACACTTAGGATGTAGTGAGCACCTCAAATAGTTCCCGGCTTGTGATTTTCCACTCTGACTTATCTTGCATCTAGTATGCTCTGTTTTGTGATTTATCACTGGAATGTAAACATGAGCTTAATTTGCAAATTTTACTGCCAAGGCAGTATCCTTGTGGAAATCCCATTATGGGAGGGGGAAGATGTTAATCTGGAGAAAATGTGTATTCCCTTTATTGTCACATTTACCCCTCACAATCTCCCTAATTATTTTTAGGACACACATTCGTTGTGAAGTCAGTTGTTAGCTTTGCAAAGTCATCCTGTGATCTGACAGCCAATTTGTTTCCCACCCACCCATTCCCCGCTTGTGCAACCCGTGGGCAAAATGTTCTTGTCACATGCTCTCAGTAAATGCTCATCTTCAGTGTCACCAGCGTTTCTGAAACCATACAATCCTGTTGTATCAGAGGATGAATCATGACTCAGTTTTAGCATGTGTGTTTACAAGATAGGATGAAATGAAAAACATGCAAGAGCAGAAAACAAGGAATTGGTTGTGTGCTCTGTGACCTGCCGGGTGGAAAGTTATTTATAATGTGGGGAAAATACATGGATAGGAAGAGCAAGCTAGTTAAACAAGTGTGGATGGTGTCTCCTTCCCTGTTGAAGCAAAGTCTCCCTCTGAGAGCTCATTGCATTGATGCTGCAGAATGTACATTCCAAAAACTGATAGTCACCCACTTGGGAGGGGGACCCATGAGTAAAAAGGGTGCACAAGTGAGAAATGGACTATTAAAATCTGGTGTAATAGTGCCAGTGGCCATGATGTGGGAGCACCAGAATTAAAATAACCTATCCTCCTTCTCATCCTGTCTGTTCCCTATAAAATTAGCTACAATCCTCTCAGCAGCTGAGAGGAACGTGGATTTTCCAAGCAGCCCCATACTGCTATGAGGCACTCCTGTGATTGTGCAAAGTATCTGGGGGTGAATTGGTCCTCAGTGAGTAATTAAGTCCCATTATGTTTACAAAACAGTGATCCTTCTGGGGATCCTGCTTGCACTTTTGGATTCTCCCTGGGTGCATGGCTATGAGAACTCTCATGATTATCACCTGTACTTCACCATTTACACTATACCACTCCCCTGAATATGGACGGATACAATAAAAAGCCAGTTACATTAGTTCCCTTGTGCAATCACGTACTATTATAATAAGAGAAAATATGCTTCAGAGCACTAGACGCTAAGATCCAGCTTCTCTTTTTAAAATATGAGACTTCCGGGGTGTTCAGACTATCAGGATCACAGCATTGTGGAACTTAAGAAGCTGGACCATATTCTGTGTACTTGTTCTAGGCCCAGATTGCAGACCAGGAACAGACTCATGCTCAGCGTCTGATGGAGCTAACATCCCGACATCAGCTGGACATAAAGCTGGAAACAGAAAGGCTGCACAGTGCCCAGCTCCAAACTGAACGAATGGTAGAGTCCCGCGAGAAGACCCATCGGCAAAAAATAAAAAGCCTGGAGGAGCAGGTTAGGCTAGAGAGAGAGAAGGTTTCATATCAAGATTCCAAAGCAAAGCATGCTGCTTATATACTGTTCCATGTTGCTTAAAGCACTCTCTGGATATTTACAGTTTAACTATGCAGGCTATACATTGCCCCCTCCCAGCAAGCTGGGTACTTAGTAATGCTTGAGTTCTGTGACTGGAAAATATTCAAATTCAGGAATATAATGCAAAATGTGCCATGAAATCTGGAGTGTTGATAGTGAGAACTGGGGTGATGGAAGTATGAGGAAAGAACTTGGGCCATTGGCATGTTGCAATGGCAAAATGGTAAAGACAATGAAGAATAACAAATTACTCTTTTTAGAAGGTTGTTCTTCCTAACATTTCGCCAGTCTCTGTGGCCGGGCTGTTCAAAAGAGAACACCCCCTGAAAAATCTGACTCCTGTCCTCTGAAGATGCCGGCCACAGAGGCTGGCAAAACATTAGGAAGAACAACCTTCAGAACACGGCCAAAGAGCCCGAAAAACCCACAACAACCATTAGATCGCAGCTGTGAAAGCCTTCGCGAATACTCTTTTTAGATTCGTTTTTCTTCTGATTCTTTCCCAACTTCCCAGATGATTTGAAATAGAGTCAGTTAAATATTGACTGCGCCCATCAAATTCTCCATATGTGAATGGATGAAAACTTGATTCTAAAGTACCTGAGTTGAAGAAGTCACTAGTATTTTACCTAAAAAAATGCATGTGCAGCATCTGTGACTGCAACATGTGAGCTAGCCTTCAAAAGTTCCCAACACACCCCTCTTAACAAACAGGGCCAGGAAGCACAATAGGAGACCTTTCTTCACAAGGCAGGCCTATATACAGTACATACATAACTTGAATTCATGTTTTTTATAGTTCTTTGTTTGGATTTCTCCAGTACTTAAAAGAAACTAAACTAAACTAAGGAGTGAGTTGGAGTGCACTGATTAATATTGTTCAAGAAAACTGATGGTGCTGCATCTCCCCTCCACCCAAGAAGCTGAACAAGTTGTGTATCATAATGGTTATGAACTGCATGGTTTAAATCCTGAGTTCAAATCCTCAGTCAACCATAAATCTCTCATATGGGCTTCGGCTTGTCATTATCTCCAAGCCTATTTCACAGGGTAGTTCGGACGCCAATAAGAGAAAAGATTATGTGTGATGCCTAGAAATCCTTAGGACAAAGGTGAGATAAAATGTACTAATAATAGTAAGATGTGTTGTCTCAAACCTGCCTTCTGGCTCTTATAATGGATCTGGTACTGCTCACTGTTAGAGGAGTTATAATACTGAGCTAAAGATTCAACCCAACATGTTTATATTTGTATTTATATTCTCCCAGGTCAATGCTCTGAAAGTGCAGCTGGATCAAGAAGTGAGAAGAAGACAAGCATACATGAACCAGATGCTTCACATAGGGAAATGATTCAAAAAAAATTGTTGTGCTCTGACCTGAGATAAACAAACAGTAAACCACTAGCCCTGAATGGGAACCTTGCAGCTCAGTCACTGGATTTATCAGTCTCTTGCACTGAAAGCATACAACTGATTCATGATCACAGAAACCTGGCCTCCAGGTTTTGCAAGTAGAGTTCCTCATCCCATTGAGATAGCACATAGCACTGAATGAACACTTGGAAGGCACAGCAAAACCAACAGATTACTAGGCAGCATGCTGCCAAGAGGAAACCCTGCTGTGATGACAGCTGTTCTCTCTAAGATGCTTGAAACCCAAGGCACTGATGCTTAACAAATTAATTTAGGCTATTTGACAAGGAGAGGATTCTCAGTTGCTTGGCTCCCTGGGTAGTGTATCCCTGCATGATCTCTGTAGGGTTTTGTATGAACTGTAAAATTCTGTCTTACCTATCCTTTAAATACCTCTGCATTTCCATAATTCATTGGATTATTTTATTCTCCCTGTTGATTAGAAGTGTTGTTGTCCAATACTTTTTGGTACATCACACAATATCACAACCATATCCTCTTAATATGGCAATGGACAAAGTAGCTATTTGGTTGTCATCACTCAGCCAGTGTCATCACAGGTTCATACATCATGTGCCCTTCTAGAAACAGAGGAGTCCAGTATTTCTGAAGGCACCAAAATTGTGCTATCCTATATGGAGAAGTTAGAAAGCAAAGTATGCCCATGTTGTGGGACTGATCAAATCTTTTGCTGTGTCTGTGAACATCAAGCCATTTTCATGGTGGCAGGTGGCTGAGATTAACTCAAAGCCAAGTCATCTTATGACTTGCTGGCCCCAAGATACATCAGAGTGTTAACATTCAACATTCCACCCACTCTGCCGGCTGACAGGCTCCAAGGAAATCCCTTTAGGAATCAAACTTTGGTTTCCTTGGTGATGACAGGAAACCATCCTGAAGTTGCTGTGAACATCACCTGTTAGCATTGTTCCACATTTTTTCCTTGTGAATGCTTGTTTTTTCTGAACATGTAGTGCACATTTTTGAAATAAAAACATTTCCCAAAGAAATGGAGAAGGACGGTTTCTACTGTTTTGATATCAAAATACATTGCTGTAATGATTTGCATACTATCAGATATGTAGTCCTGAAAACAGCTTTCAACACCAGTTTTGTAGAACTTTAAAGTGTTTACAGGTTTATTATACCATAACCTTTTATGCCAGCAAGATCACACTTCTTACAACTCTCAAAGCAGACTCTAGTCCAGTGGTTCTTAACCTTTGTTACTCAGGTGTTTTTGAACTGCAAGTCCCAGAAACCCCAGCCAGCAGAGCTGATGGGGAAGGCTTCTGGGAGTTGCAGTCCAAAAACACCTGAGTAACAAAGGTTAAGAACCACTGCTCTAGTCCACAAAGGTGTTTGTTACAATAAACCTGTTAGTCTCCATGAAGTCACAAGATTCTTAGCTGTCATCTTCTGTTGCAACAGACTAACACAGCTTTCTGGTAGCTGTACATATTCAGGTCAAGCTATGCATTATAGACAGCGCATTTTTAGAAGAAGTAATATCCTTAAGTGCTGAAAGACATATGAATGTCAGAGCAGAAGCTTTTCATACCTCCCATAGTTTACATAGCTGGCTGGATAGCTCAGTGGTTTAGATATCTGGTTGGGAATTTGATTCCCCACTGTGCCTCCTGTGAGTAGAGCCAGCCTGTGTGGCCTTGGGCAAGCTGCACAGTCCCAGAGCATCCCCAGTAGAGGGGGATGATAAACCACTTCCGACTATTCTATATTTGGAAAAGCCTGGAAAGGGTCACCATAAATACCAAATTGACTTGATTGCACATCATCATCATCATATTTTGCATAGCTTGCAAAGTAGCTTGCTTTGTTTTATGAATGGTCATCAGGAGGTAAGAACAGGCTGTGTTTGCAGGAATGATTGCAAATATAATTACAACTTCTGCCTAAATCACTTCTCTGAAATGCCAACAGATTTTGGTTTCTACAGATAGATTAGTTTGGTCCTTGGTGTTTCACATTTTGCTATTTTTTGATGGAACGCAGCAGAAAAACTCATTGCCTGAGTGCAAACCCATGCTGTGTAGCTTATTTCATGCTCTATACTACAGATTTAAATGAATTTTAAAACCTATTTAACCTTCTAATTCTATATAGAAAACTTAAGGTTTGCTAAGAACTCTCAGAACTCCTGGATAGTGAATGCTTCTTGTGTTCTGCAAAGAAAGACCCTCTCTCATCTGATGCACAAATGTGCCCCTCAGCCTAGTCCCAAGCCATATTCAGTTTTATACGTACGTCACAGCACTTTAAATTACAGTAGGGGAATCACACATCTTAACTAAGTGGTCGTACTCAACACTCAGACTGCAACATTCTCAAGCCTCAAAAAACTTTTCCAATGCAATTTCACATAGATCCAGTTACAGTAGCAAAATCAAAGGTAACTAAAGCATGGGCGTTAGCTGAACCAAAGAACATGAGAGACGCTGCAGACTAAAACAACCGGAAAAATCGACAGTAGCTGAACATGCCCTGAAACAAGCTGAGCATGAAATTCTATTTCAAAACACAGAAATACTGGACAACACCAGCAATCATTATGTTAGATTGCACAGGTAAGCGATTGAAATCTACAAACACCAGCAGAGCAGCAACAAAAAAAAAGTCTAAAATTCCATCATCAAAAAAGAGTGTCTAGCTATCGTGTGGATGCTGCAAAAGCTGAAGCCCTACATCTGGTGAAAGAAATTCATCCTCTTCACCAACTATTCCCCCTTAGTGTGGCTATGAATGATGAGATCTAATAGCAGCAAACGTACAAGATGGGTGCTGATTTTGCAAGACTTTGATTTTGAAATCCGCAGTGTAAAAGGATCTCAGAATGTGGTTGCGGACGCTTTGTCTATAAGACCAAATGACTAGAGAAAATTCTTTTTTTCTGAGTTCATTTTAACTGTTCTGTTTGTGTAATAGTTATACGATATCATTAAAGTGCAAAATTTGGTTGGATGTTAATAAACTAAGAGGTAGGTACAGTGATAGTAAAAATAATAGTAAGTATGCTTAGTAATGTAAGATGTTAATATTTGCATTCTTCCATGAACCTTTGTTTGTTTATGTGGGCAAATCATTAAGTTTTCCCTCCTAAAACAAACTAATTAAGGGGGGGAGGGATATAGCGTTCACCCTGATCATTAATATTTATGTGGAGATTTGCATGCACTAATAGGAATTGGTGATGGGCAGAGTTAAGTGGGAGTGAAGAAAAGGAGGGAGGGAGAGAGGAGAGTAGGCAGTTGAGAGTGGAGGAAGAAGGTTGTTTTAGTTGAGAGTTAACAACATTGACTGGACTGTTATCACCTGTAACAATAAACAATTTCTACTTGGTTCTTAAATGACACACTGCCTGGACCTCTGTCATTATTAGTGAATAAAGGTGATGTAATCAACTGGTGGCAGCTGAACGACACATAGCTTGTGCCTTTGCTTGGTGAAATAACCAAGCTACAGGCGGGAACATGGCAAGCCCATTTCCTGATTTATTTTTTGACAGAACATGAAGACCTCTGTTCTGTCTGGACTAAGTCAGTTTATTTGATTTCATCTTGTCAATTAGCAACAACCGATACTGGTACAGTTTCCTTGGATTTAGACTGGGGTGAACAAAACAGACCATACCCTAATATTCTTCATCACTGATAACACTGGCTATGGCTGATGGAAACTGGACTCCCATGCAATCTATGGGCCATATTGCCCCATCCCTGATTTAAGTGGAAAGGAGATGGGTGTTGTTGACATATTGGTGTCCCAAAAACTGTCATCAAAACTCTGAATGACCTTTCACAGTGGCTTTATTGACATGATAAATATTTGAGAAAACAAAATAAGTCTCTAAGAGTCACTGACCAATGGCCATGCTCTCAAACAAGAGGAATCATAAAATTAGTCCCATGCCTGCTGTGCAGTTAGGCAGGTCAGTCGATAGCATCAAAAGACTATGTGAAGCATCTAGCACAACCATAAGGGCCAAACTTGCCCTGTGCAGATAAGGAAAGCAAGCAGTGTCTGTCCTATAACCAGTAAAATGGAAGTAGATAATTTATGCTGCCCAGAAACACTTAAAAGTTTTATACCAACAAATGTTTCAACAGCTTGCTCAGGAATGGAATAATGGGGGCTGGGCATAATATATTGGGGTCGAAGGAGGGTTAATTAATGAAGTTATAACTACCACCAGTTTTAGACATTATAAAACTTGATCTTCTTCTATAGAGTAATTCCCCTTTATCCTTACCCACTCACAATCCTCCTCCCTCCTTTGCTATTTGTATGAATTAGGAATGGTGACCAAGTGAAAATGGATCTCATCTCCACAAAGATCAAAAATTGCTTCACACTGATGTGTGTTAGAGCAGATACACCCTCAATAGTTTGTATTTTGTCACAAATCAGGAGCAAGCATATTTAGTGCTCAGTAATGTTTGCAGTGTGGGGGATAGAGTGACAGACTAGGACTCTGGAGAATAGGGTATAAATCTTGGCTCAGCCATGGAACACCACTGGGGGGAGTAGAACTGGTAAAACCACTTCTTAAATATCTCACTCACCTTGAAAGCCTTATTAGGATTGTTATAAGTCTGTTCTGACTTGAATGCACAGAACACACATATTATTTACAACCATCTCTATCAGTATCTATTTCTTATGCATCTGGTATAACTTATGCTAGCACAATCCTTGGTGAAAAGTGTACAGATCATTAACTTTAGATCTACCCTTGAGCTGATGTCAACCATAGTTTCATTTACTTTGGTTGGCAGGCAGCGTACATACAGGTGTACTAAAAAAAACCTGTCTAGTGTAGCCCTTTAAACTTAAGGTAGAATGCACTTAGCTGAGCCCCATTTAGGAGTTTCAGCCCTATCTCTTTCAGACTTGATTATTACACAGAAGCAACAGCAGTAGCAGATGCTTTAGAACCTTTCACTGCCAAGAGGATTAAGTGCCAAAGAGCAGGGGGGATGCCATGTCAGCCCCAGTTGCCCTGTGTGTTAGGAGAATCTGGAAACTGCCCAGTTTCCACCACCAAGTTTTGTACTCTGCGTAGGCAACTTGCTGGGAATCCCAGAAATTATGTATGCATAGTTGGCACCGTCCAGCTTCAACGAAGGAAAGTTTCCATGGGGGATTTCAGCTAATCTGCTGCTGTTCCTTCTGAGCCTCACTGTTCTCTTCTGCTCAGTTTCAGTTTTTACACAGGAATCTGTTCCTTGGCCTCCATTCAGCATTGAAACAGATCTTGCAAAAATTACTATGGTGGACATCACTAGTGTTGTTGTTGTTGTTGTTGTTGTTGTTGTTGTTGTTGTTGTTGTTAACACTACTACTACTACTACTACTACTACTACTACTACTACTACTACTACTACTACTACTACTACTACTACTACATGTTCCCAGTAGGAAAGAGCTCTCTCTTCAAATCTCCATAAACTAGACAGTCTCTCACTGCTACCAGCAAACTTCTGTTTTGTTTTATTTTGTTACAAAAGCTAAATAAGTCGTAAGACTCACAATTGTGTGGTCTGCATTTCTAATGCAAAAGGATTAAGCACCATGTCAGTTTTGTTATGCCACTTCCCACCCCACTGGATCACGAGCTACACAGAAGAATTTAGAGCTCCAGACTAGTTGCTGAAAGAGTTGGAACTGAAAAAACGGCAGCCTGTACAAGGGTTTTATATGCTTCACATCAAAGTCAATCTCTCTGAAAAATCAGTGGGATTTGGTTCCACATAATGGGCATAAAGTAAGCAAAAGTCAGTCCAAACTAACACTACTGTTCCAGATTCCTAGGACTTTGCTATGAATAGTTCCCATTAGATTCCTGGACTTACTGTTACGTATGCATGCACAAGAACAGACTGAATGTTCTGTGCAGCCCATCCTATTCTTTTTTATGGAGATGTTCAGTCCTCCTAAGTTTGTTGTTGTTGTTGTTGTTAAGTGCTCTCAAGTCAGAACTGAT